TTTGTCAGTTTGACAGAAATAGCAGGGTGTCGTCGGCATATTGTGACATGAGGTAAACTGTAAAATCTCACACTATGATTTTCTTTTTTTAGAAGGAGGTGTAATACTGTGATTTAGGAATAAATAGATCCCAGACAACAAAAGTTAGGTGACATTCAGGAAAGTCAAGGTGAAATGTTACTGTGAAAGCTTCACTAGTTGTTCTAAAAAGTTTCTCAAAAGAACCACAATTAGGACACCCGTGATTATAAGACGACGACTCCTCTTTTTAAGACTATTTTTCAGACAAAGACTTTGACAACCCACTTTACTTTGTTTAAATACAATATTGCACTAAACAGCTGTGCAATTAAACAGTTGCGGTCACTGGCTATACAAAAAGCTAGCGCCTTCTGCCATTGCGGTCGTGTAGCGACCCCGGACAACTATAAGCTTGTGTCAGCGGTTACAAGACGAGCCAAAAAAAACCTTTAGGTCAATACAACAGTTGGAAGGTCCATTTAGGAAACCAGCACATCACAACAGTTAGTTCATACAATGGTGAGTTCTCTCTTATCTCAAGACCTGTTAGCGTAATGTTCAAGGTTAGGCACTAGCTTGCTAAAAGAAGATGTCATTTTTTAGCGCTGACCTCATCATTTGCAATTTCCTCCAGAATCGAGTTTAAATGAATTCAAAATAAACAGAGTTGTTGGTAGGCAGCGTCATTGCGGTAAATTATTACATTGGAGATTAATTTCTGGCTCCTAGCGTCCTCAGCAATGATGTAAAATATGTTCTGTTTTTGTTAAACTACAGTTCCCATCATCCTTTGCTGCTCCTAGCTCTTTAAGCTGCGCTTTGACGGTCAGTCTAAGTGATTGCCGCTGCATTAAAACTCAAACGTCGCAGTGACCTTTTATCATGTGACCCCGAGGATCTTAACATTACAAGGCATTATATTATTATTATGGGATGTTAATGTGACATTTACTGCTGTTCCACTCATTTAACAGTGGATTTCCCTTCTCTGCTGACACTAAATCACTGGATCCTGCAGGAAAAAGAGGCTCCCGTGAGGCAGCGCAGCTCCTCGGTATATTATGGGATCTTAATGTTTCGATGTTAATGTGCCTGCCTGGTATATATTCAAATCCATAAATAAATTACAGCAGCTACAGTAAGTCTTTAAAAACGTTTAAAATAAACGGACGTGCAACGTTCTGCATCTAGGAAATGCTCCGGTTTTTCACATCACTAATATACTGTAAATACGGTCAAAATTGATGACAGTTTTATTAGCAAGACTTTTTTTTTTTTTGCGCTTTTTCAGTTGACCCTGAAAACCTCATTAAAACCTCACTGAAGTCTGAAGTCCTGCTGCAACAGGAACTCACTTTCCTGGTTCTTCTGTCCTCTTCTTCATCCCCTAGGTTTCCTGAAGGGAACTCCTGAGGGTCTCATAAAGTTCTATCTATCTATATGGCACAAATGATGGGACAGTCGTATCACTTTTGGTTTCGACCAAATTCTCAGCCTTCCTGGTTAATCATCAATCACAAACCAACTGTTTGTCGGTGCTTTCTGATTCGTTTGAAACGGGCATCGATCTGTGACCTGCGCGTCAAAATACTGAAACTTTACAGCAGGACTGATCCTACATTGAATTAGCACAGTGTTTTCTCAACCTTTTTTGGCTCGTTGCTCATTGCAAATGTGTTCTCTGTGTTGCTTTCAGCGACGCTCGTAAACTTTAGTCATTCTTTCTCTGTCTTTCTGGTATCTGTTTCTGCATTCCTCTTGGTACTGCCGTTACGGTGCTAGGCGGGCGAAGAAACATTTCCATTTTGTTTTCTACTGGCCGCATGTTTGTGTTTAGACAGGTTGAAGTGCGGGAACTCAATCAATCAAGAATCACCAGCTCAGATTTTTTTACGCTGCCATTTGTTTGAACTGCATTTATATTCATGGAAGTGAAAGAATCCAGTTGTTTAAGAATATATTTGGTGTTTATAGTAATAAATGTATTTGTCATTACCAGACATTTCAGGTGACCCCATCTGAATACCAGGCGACCCAATGTGGGGGTTGCAACCCCAGGGTTGAAAACCTACTATATTCCTTTCCAAGTGGGTCAGGTTTATTATTTGAGGTAAAAAAAAACAAACAAAAAACCAAAAAAAAACACTGCTGCAACATAAACTTGTGTTTTAAAGCCCAGAGGCTTCGCTGGTGCATTTTTAATGAAAAAGGAAGTTTACAAATGTCACATCCTCCCACTGGATGGCACAAACTATTAATCCCAAACGTCCGCTCACATTTTTATCTATGGAAAGTCGCAGGTTTCTCAATTTTAATCCAGAAAGTCTGCGGCAGTAAAACTTCAACTTCTGTGATGTTTTCAATTTGGATACAGCAGCGGCGGAGGGACACCGGCGAATGTTTATATGCTAATACCTGGGTATGACTTACACAAACACACACACACACACACACACTCTCTCTCTCACGTGGGGGAACATGACTGCAGGTGTTTGAAGAATCCCCCTGAGACGACTCTTAATTCAGCAGCTCACTCTCCCTCTCTTTCTCTCTCTCTCACACACACACACACACTCCCTCACACTCATTCAGTCCAAGCAGCAGGTTTTCAATAAAACCTTCTTCTCTCTAAGCACATACGCGCTCCGTCACGTGCGCACGCGCGTTAGCGGAGAGATTAGTTCTGCCGACCGTGGAGGACGGGGACGAGAATGCGGTGAATGAGAGCAGAAGGAATTCGAAAAAGTTGCACATTTTCTAGTATTGAAAAACGAAGCAGAAAGAGGAGAGAATGGAGAAATGGAGAAGAGGAAGGGAAAAAGGAAGAGGGCGAGAAAGAGGAGGAGAAGTGGGAATATTAGGAGAGGGGGGGGAGGGGGGTCCCAAGCCTGTGGTGAGGAGTCATCTTTTGTGCTAACCTGTGTTCATCAGCGTTGATGTCCTTGGTCAACATCAGCAGCAGTGTGAGAGTGACACTGGTTTTAACCAGAACTTTAAGTTTTATTCTAGGGGGGACTAGTCCAGTGGTCCCCAACTTTTTATTTTTATTATTTTTTTAATATAACCAAAGACCGGTACTGGCCTTTACTGAGGACCAGTAACACCCCTGTGATTGTTGGACGATCGTTATATTCTCAAAATAAAACATCTTTATTCTGTTAGCATCGGTTTCTGGATGACATTATTTTGAAGCAGATTCTCTTTGAATGAAGTAAATTAGTAAAAAATGAAGTACATTTTTCATTCATGTCCAACTGTGGCCCGGTAACAAATGGCATACGGACCAGTACCGGTCCACGGACCTGGGGTTGTGGACCCCTGTTCTACAAGACACTTGAACCTTAGCCCTTTCTCGCAATTTCTTCACAGCATCTGTGATTTGGTGAATGACAAAAGCATTAGCTGGTCATTTGGACTAGACAAAAAAAAGGAGAGCACACTTTGCTTTCCTTCAGAAATGACCTTGGTGAGTGCTTGAGTCAGACCTGGAAAAGGTCGTATAAACCTTGAGAGAACGGCTAAAGTTTGAGAAGGTCTGAGAAGAATCCGAGATCCTGACTGGACCTGTCTTTCCTTATAAAATGCCTGCTGTAATCACCTTCTGAACCAATGTAGGGACTTTATTACCCACAAGACTCTGCTCCATGACGAGGGCCGCGGGTTCAATTCCTAAATGAGCTCTTCACTTTTATTGGATTTCCTCTAATGCAGGATCAATATCAGCGTCTCGTATCAACGGCAGACACAAAGAACAACGATAAAAACAACGTGTACGACTCGTATAATACATATATATACAGTATATATAAACATATATAAACATATACACACACACACACGTATTCACAGACTGGCCTAATGTCACCCTCAAAACTTTTACCTCTGTTCTAATAAACTCCTTTTCTTTTTTTTCTGTCTGTTGTAAAACACGGAGCAGGAACAACACCACAGTAAATCAGGTTCTGCTCCAGCTGCATCCCAAATATAAAGGGTTTGCTTTAATGGTGCCAGCGAGGAAGTGACGGAGAAAATGAAAACAGTTTAATTTTACAGCTGGAGACCCTGCAAACAGGTTTAAAGTCCAATTCATTTCAACGTGCCCCGGTTTTTATCCACTGACTTCTCATAAAACACTGCTCTCCTTGTCTGGAAATTGAAGCCATTAGAGAAGTGTCTGAAGGTTGTCTTCTCCTTAACGGCCATTGGAGGAGCTGCTTGACTGGCTTTTGAGAATTTAGGGAATTCAGAGGGGGTCCTCGACCTATGTCGGAGTCACGTTCCCACGGTGCGACGTAATTGGATTTTTGCTGATTTTTTTCACTCACCTATGCTAACACAGTGCTAACATCACAATCTAGCACATGAATACATTAGAGGAGTCTGACTGATGTCTGGGCCACGTAATTAAGGGAAAGCGAAGGTAGCGCATTTCGATGTATGATGTACATCCGGCGACTGTCTTCCGCGTACATCGCTGCTGGACGACGTATTCATCCACTCCACGCTATCGCTAGTTTGTGTGCAAACCGGTTGGGGGGTTTTAACACCGTATGTCGAAATGATAGAAGGCTCAAGACTTAATACATTGCATGGGACAAGGTGACGTAACCATGAAACGCTGTAGGTCGAGGACCGTTGTAAACCGAGGACCTCCTGTATAATATTTTCATGTGTGTCCAGTTTTTGCTTTGTCCAAGAATGCCAAATAGTACAAACCTAGCATTCGTGAGAAACAACAGTTTTTGACTCATTTATACCTCCATGATGAACTTTAAATAAATTTAAGATTCTAAAGGTTTACTTCAGCGTAGCAGCAGCCGTTCCTGTTCCTGTTCCTGTTCTTCTGAGCTGGAATCACTGATTTCCTTTACAGACTTTGGTGTTAGGAAAAGGAGCCGATCACAGATTGGCATGTCGTCGATCATCTCCCTCTAATTGGACTCTTCCAAACTGAAACTTGTCGTTCTCTTTCTCCCCAGATCCGTCTCTACGCTCGGCCAGATGCCATTTCCAGCGGTGCTGGAGACTACGCCCTGCACATCACCAGGAGACTCCTGGGGTTTTACCAGGACTACTTTAAAGTCCAGTATTCGCTGCCCAAGCTAGGTAAGACTGCTAACCTGCCACTCTTCCTTTGATGCCTTGGTTCTTTTCCTGTGAAGGTTATTTTCCGTACCCTCGCCGGTTCCTTTCCTGCAGCTGTACAGTCAGGTCGGTAGAAAATAGACAGTTGGACGTTTTTTCATTACCATAAGAATAAGAGGTTTCCGCCCCAGGCCTGGTCTTTGTCCTTGGTATGATGCTATATTTTGGCGTTTTAGTGGAGGACTCTTATTTCTCCGTCCGTCAGGAGGTCGTACAGCACGATGAGGTTTGGGATTTGAACCTTATTCCATCACGGCTATTTTGTTCATATAAAAAAAGGCCACAGTTTCTGTAGCTTTGAAGTTTTTTTTTTTTTTTTGACAGGATGGTTCTCTGAACAGAGTGAAGGAGAAAACACACACTTCTTTGTGTTCAGGGTTCAGATGAAGGTGACGTGTAAATCAGCCGAAGTGGTGCTGAAAAGAAAAAGCAAAATTACTTCAGTATATGAAAAAACGTGTGTAAAAAGGAAAAGGTGAATAATAGATGAGGAAATTGATTGACTTAATGAGGCAATTTTCATTTATTTTTTAAGTAAAGATGAATGGTTAAATCAGGAAATTGAATAAAGGACAAAAAATTGGATATAAATAAATCAATTGATGGATCGAGTAGATGCGGAGGAAAAATGGACACGTGAAGGACTGGCTACAGGTCAATGACGGATGGTTGAATGACGAGGACGAGGAGTGGTAAATAGGAATAGAGGAAACGACAAATAGTCATGGGGTGATTGATGATAAATGGATTGATAAAGAGATGGATGGATGGATGGATGAGACAACCACAGTGTGGGCCAGTGGAGGATAAATGGACACGCAGACAGCTGATGAGTTCATGAATGAGCGACTGTCCGTCTTCGGTGAATGAATGGACTGGTCTCCACCTTCACCATCGTCTCCTGTAACCTGTATTTATTTCACTGCGGCTTCAGTGAAACCGCTCTCCCAGATAAATGACCCACATTCACACCTTCACTGTTTGAGAGCCTGAAAGAGATCAGCTCCGTCTGAAACAGATTAACTCCTCTCCTCTCCTCTCCTCACCTCTCCTCTCCTCTCCTCCCTTCCCCTCTCCGCTCCTCCCTTCCCCTCTCCTCGCCTCCCTTCCCCTCTCCTCTCCTCTCCTCTCTTCTCTTCTCCTCTCCTCACCTCTCCTCTCCTCTCCTCCCATCTCCTCTCCTCTCCTCTCATCTCATCTCCCCTCCCCTCCTCTCCTCTCCCCTCCCCTCCTCCCCACTCCTCTCCTCTCCTCACCTCTACCCTTACGTCCTCTCCTCTCATCTCCTCTCCCCCCCTCTCCTCCCCTCTCCTCTCCTCTCCTCACCTCTACCCTTACGTCCTCTCCTCTCCTCTCCTCACCTCTACCCTTACGTCCTCTCCTCCCATCTCCTCTCCCCTCCCCCCCTCTCCTCTCCTCTCCTCTTCTCTCTTCTCCTCTCCTCTCCTCTCATCTTCTCTCCTCTCCTCCCCCCCCCCCCCCCCCCCTCCCCTCCCCTCCCCTCCCCTCCTCCCCACTCCTCTCCTCTCCTCTCTTCTCCCCTCCTCTCCTCTCCTTTCCCCTCCTCTCCTCTCCTTTCCTTCCCTCTCCTCTCCCCTTCTCTTTTCTTCTCTCCTCTCCTCCCCTCTCCTCTCCCCTCCCCCCCTCTCCTCTCCTCTCCTCTTCTCTCTTCTCTTCTCCTCTCCTCACCTCTGCCCTTACGTCCTCTCCTCTCCTCTCCTCACCTCTACCCTTACGTCCTCTCCTCTCCTCTCCTCTCCTCTCCTCCTCAGAGACCTAGGACGTATCTCCACAGCGACGTTGTCAAAGTGTGATAAATGTGACTGTGACGATCACAGCTGTCTCTTCTCCGTTTGTGTTTTCCCTCCTAAGCATGAAGAACAACAGTCATTTAAGGCCGCAGTGTCACATACTTCAGCTAGTAACACGGAGAAACCTGGCGGATGTTTTCCTTTCCCACCGTCTGCTCCTCGGTAAAACCACGGTCTTTCGCCTCCCATCGCCTCTGGTCGGGTTAATGAATCATGTCAGAGTGATCAAATTTCATCTCTCTCCTCCCTTCGCCCTGTGTAATTGTTTGTGTTTTACATTTCTCTCCTGCCACAATCGATTAGCCCCTCGTCACCTCGGTGAATTTCCTCTTCCTTATCCACAGGCCTCCCTCTAATGTGATCACTCTGGGTCCATACTGCACCTGTCAGACGCTTCCTTCCTGTCCAAACTCATCCATCACATAAGAAATCCTCCCTCACTCAAAGCTTTTCTGTGTTTTTTTTTTTCATCCGCTCAGATTAGATTTGACATTTACTTCCTGTCTCCCTGACCTTTTGGCAGATATTAGCCGCGATAATGGGCCAGAAGTTAGGAGTCGGGAGGGTGAAACCACTTTTACTTTGAAAGGATTGTTGTTGCAGTTGAGTTCTAGTTCTTACAGCGTTGCTGGGCAACACGTTTAAAATGTAATTATTTGCAGTATTTTCATTGCAGTCAATCGCGCTGTTTTACCCAAAATTCAATCATTTGCAGTAACGTGGTACACACGCTGTACTGTATAAAGAAAGTGTGTAAATAGTTTGGTGGTGCTGTTTTTTGGTGATTTACTGTCATCTACAGTGTGTATTGTGGTTGTAGTACTTGCTGCTAGTATTTGTGGTAAACTCGGCTCATTTTATGGCCTTGGGGAATTTAGAGTCATGAACTGAAGTCATCTGGTTCGTTTGAGTCTTTGAGGTAGGATTGGAAAAAAAATGAGGAAAGCAAAAAAAAAAAAACAAGCCTGGGGTCTATCCAGGTTAATCATTTTAGGCGTGGAAGAAAAACACACACACAGCTTATTTTTCCTAATGACATATTTAAACTTTATCTGAGAATTAACCAAAAACAGCTTTTGTTATTATTTGAAAATGCATTTATTTAAAATTAGTTTTTCTCTGTCTAGTTTTGGGGCATTTTAATATTTTGGATATACATATAATCCGAAAGCAACAGCAAAAAGAAAAAAAAAAAGAAAAAAACAGTTCACCGTTCTTTACAGTACTGCGTCTGATTTTAACACAACCAAACAAACAAAAGTACAACAGTCAATACTGTACTATGAAAATATCAACACCACTTGCTTTAACAACTTGTTTATTGCAATATTTATGCTTAGATTCATTGACTGTAATGAAGTTGATATAAAAAAACAAACAATTAAGACCTGCTGAGTCGGCTGTCTTCTGCTCCAAGCAGCCAGCAGAGGACTAGTTAACCTGAGACCTTCATGGAACCATGAACCTGCGTGATTCAGGAACTGGCCAGTTCTGACTTGTGTGTGTCGTCAAAGTATGTGAGCAACTGTGGAATTTAAAAAAAAAAGGAGAAAGAAGAAAGAATTAGGGATGAGATTTTGGCATGAGAGCGACTATCCAAATGACCAGGCTAATGTGAGCTAACTACATTGTTAAGCTGTATACCATACCGTACCGTACCATACCATACCATACCATACCATACCATACCATACCATACCATACCATACCATACCATACCATACCATACCATACCATACCATACCATACCATACCATACCATACCGTATCGTACCATACAACCGTACCGTATCGTACCATACCGTACCATACCATACAACCGTACCGAACCGTACCATACCATACCATACCATACCATACTATACCATACCATACCATACCATACCATACTGTACCGTACCATACCATACCGTACCGTACCGTACCATACCATACCATACAACCGTACCGTACCATACCATACCATACAACCGTACCGTACCATACCATACCGTACCGTACCGTACCGTACCATACCGTACCATACCGTACTGTACCGTACCATACCGTACCACACCCTAATAACCTCAGATGATCTTAGTGATATAGAGGTGGAGCTCCTTGTCTGTTGTAGGGGGTTTATTATTCCGGTTGCATCATCAGTAACAGGCAGGCGATTATTGTGTTTCGCCCCAATGCTGGGCCAATGGTCTAGTGGCTGCAATGCAATTAGCAACAGGCCACCTCGGCTTAATGTACAGAACTGAAAGCCTACATTCTACAATTACTGTTGAAACCACCGCTGCTCAACAAACTCTGATGGCCGTGGCAGGAATTGCACCTTTAGCTTTACAGACACATCAACAACACCAAACAAAGTTAACTGTAAGTTCTGTACTGCAAGAAGTTGTAAAATATTGTGAAGCGTATTTACTGAACACGAAGCCCAATTCGGAGAATCGTTTCTTTGCAGTAGATGTAAAAGATAAACCCCTGAAACCTAACACTCAACAGGAAGGAGAGTAAATTCTCCACTTTTCAGCTGAAGGATATATTTTAGTACGTCTGTAAGAAATTTGACATTTTTTTTTACCTGGTTGAATGTTTTGACTGACATGTTTTTCCTGGTTGAATGTTTTGACTGACATGTTGTTTGACAACAACATAAAACCCCAAAGCATTCCGTCAAATCTACCTTTCCTCGCAAAAAAAACCCCCTCAAAAATAAAAGAAATATTGCAGCACAAACATTCAATAATCAGACAATTAAGCCAATAAAAGTTTATGAACGTTAAATATCCCAAAATGAGCTCCACCGTGTAACCAATTCCATTTATTTCACAGTAGTCACATGTAATATTTTGTGATTAATCATTTGAAATACTTTGTTCAGAATTACCGCAGTGACACAGACTGACCACAGGAGACAGCAGTGAGTTAAAAGAAATAACCGCTTTTTTATCTATTGACGGAAATAGTTTGGATAGTCAGTTCAAGGTTTTCTGGTGGAAATGTATGTCTAAAAATTAGATAAATACATGAACAAGATATTGTAACCCTCTTCAGGTACAATATTTTTTTTTACGTCTTGTCTGTTCACCGCCTGAAATGAAAAACCTTCCCACAGAACAAGCTTCAAACATTGAACGATTGCTGTCAGAATTTTGTTCG